AACGACACACGGTTCTGGGTCGACCGAGGACGGTTCCGCTTCGAGCGATCTTTGTCTGTGTTCACGATATCAATCCACGCGAGCTGGTGGACCACTTGCCCACGTACGTTTCCACTTTCAATGGGCTAGTTCAGCATTCAAAAAGTAAACTGGAGCAGTGGTGTGAAAGTCAGAGTGCACTTGAAGGGGAAGGAGGTCCGGATGCGCTGCGTCGGGCAAAGGAAAAGATCGATCATCTTGGTCGTGAGGGAGAGGTCCTTCTGGTGCCGTTCGCGAAAGGGGCAGAGCAGGTATTAGCACACGCCGTTGGCCTGCGACGGGTCAGTATGTTGGGTGTCACAGTGAGTTGCGGAATATAACATCCCTCGAGGCACCCTCTAACCGAACGGCACGATTCGGTCGTCTTTCAGGCTCAATTCCCGCATCTCGACGTCCTGCTCAAACACGCCACACAGGATGCCGGCCTTCAGCCCCTCCTGCCTCCATTCCAGCTATACGCTCTCGCTCCCTCGGCCGACTTGGCAGCTCAATTATACGCTCCGACACAGTTGAAAGCGGTTCACACGACGATTCCTGCTGATGCCAAGGCACGTAAAGCCAAGCGTGTTGAAGAGGTCAAGCGTGTGCGAGAGGAGAAGAAGGCGCAGAAAGAGGCGACGAAAGCGCGGATGAAGGTGGTGGGGATGATGGTCAAGGGGAAACTGTATGGCGGGACTGAGCAGAAGAAGAGGGATCGACAGGCAAAAATGGAAAAGAGGGAAAGGGTGGAGCAGATGGTGGTGAATCGGCAAAAGAGACGAAAGATCAAGGCGAAAGGCAAGCAGGGTTGATGGGTGTTTTACAACATGTACTGGTATGGTCTACAACAGATATCCTGAATTATATGTCGCCGAATCTCATGCCCGTCTCCTAGGCATCCGCAGGCTGACTGTCAACAGCATGCCATGTATGCTCCCTAACCTTTTCCACAGTCTCCCTATCCGCCCTATTCTTATTCGTCAAGATTTTCCCCTTGTCATCAATATTCCACAGTCCCTTGGGTGAAGCTGCCACCGTCGACGCTTCACCCCCGGCTAGATCCTTCTCCTTGCACTCGGCGACTCCGTGCAACAGGCGTTCCGCACAGGTTTCTGGACTGACGGCGAGTACTGCCGCAAAGCCTTTGGCGCCGAGTCGAACGTACCAGGGGAGACGCGGTGTGTTGAAGAGCTCGGTGGCGACGATGCCAGGGTAGGCGTGGATGAATGTGCGGTGGGGTGCGCCGTGTGATGTTGTATCCTTGTTACTCTGTTCGGCGAAATCCTGGAGTTGAATGTCGGTGAATGTGAGGCAATGTTCGGCGGCTTTCGAGACGCCATAGTTGCCTGGATGGGAGAGATCCATGTCATCCCATTTAATACCGGGTGCACGAGCATCTGATCGCTTGCCATCGAGAACGGAGAGAACGGTTGCATTCTCGGCGAGGCAGGGTAAGAGTTCTCTGATGATGAGCATTCGAGCGTAGTAGTGCAGGCTCATTTTGAGGTCGAGTGTAGAGCCGGGTGAGGCGGGTTGACGACCGTCCATGGCGAGGATACCGGGGCTGAGAACGAGTAGATCCAGCTTGTGTGTGGGTTCTTGTAACACATTACGTCGGTAGTCTTTGCAGAACCGCTTGACGTCGGACATTTTCCCACAATCGACGGCCGCAAAGTTCATTGTTGCTCCGGCGCTGGCGATAGTGTCCCCCTGTGTGCTAATGTCGTTACGGATACCATCAATGATACGTTGTGCGGCTGTTGCGTTACGTCCTGCAATCGTGATTTGGCTTGTAGGTGGAAGGGCGAGTGCGAGTTTATGGGCAATGGCCGCGCCGATGCCAGCTGTGCCGCCGACGATGAGGGCGTGTGCGTTATTAGGGAGGAGCGAGACGAGTGATGTCATGATGATGGGATGGTTGACTTGAGTAGGGAGGATATGCCACGCACTCGAGGACGGGCATCTATATGTAAACTGCCTACTGCCTGTTCCACAGCTGGTAAGAAGGTCATTTGCTGACGACAGCACCTCGGCCCAGCCAACACGGACATTCGCTCATGTCCGCCTCTGCACCTAGAAAATAAAGTTGGATAGCCCGATCACTCGCTCGCAAGTAGGGAAATATGGAATAACATGCTCCCTACTGTACAAGTTTACATAGTCAGCCAACCAGAAACTACCAACCACCATGGCCGCTCCAACCCCACCACCACCCGCTGCCCCTGCTGCAGCAGAATCAGGCCTCCATGCAGCACTTCGGTACACCGGCGTGCCCCCCTCGGTCCTCAAATGGCGACCACGACTCCCTTCCAAGAAAATGGCAGTCTTCCTCACCCTTGTCGGAGGCGGAACGTATGCGTACTGGTACGACCGTAAAGAGTGTGCGAGGATCAAGCAGGAATACGTAGACCGTGTAGCGCATCTCGCAAAAGTGCCGATGGATGGGAGTTTGGCGTTTGGAAGGACGGTCACGGTGTATGCTGCCAAGTGGCCAGAGGATGATGATTATGAGAGAGGATTAAAGTATTTCAAGAGATATGTAAAGGTGAGTTGGGAGTGGGAGTGGGGGCGGATTTGAGCCGGGAGCCAAGCGAGCCTGGCTGCGAGTGGCTTGTTCTGTTTAGTAGCATGCTGTCGGATGCTCGGTCTGCCAGCTGGACACCAATGTCTGCGACAGAGCCCTGGCTGACGCGAATCCTCCCCTCAGCCCGTGCTCGTGTCCGCCGCCATCGATTACGATCTCGTCTCTTCGCCGCAATACGGTAGTCTCACACGTCACCTCCAAGCGAAAATTATCAAAGCCCGTCGTCGTGCGCTTTCCAAGCAGTTGGGACTCGACGCTACGACACCGCTCGAGGATCCTGAACCGTGGTTCTTAGCTGGCACGCCGGGCCAGTTGTCACCAGAGCAAAAGGAACAGAGAGAGATTGATGGTGGAGTCGTGATTATCGGTCGACATACGTTGAAGGAGTACATGGAAGGTCTGCGTCGGGGATGGATGTGTGGCGTCGCAAAGTTTGATCGGGAAAAGCAGGTCGAGGCGCTCGTCAATGTGGATGGGTTCTTTGATCTTCCGGAGACTGCTGTGGTGGGAGACGTACCGAGTATCGACCATGTGGAAGAGGTCGCACAGCCCGTCGTCACGCCGCCTCAGCAGCCCCAGAAACCATTCGGACTTGGCGCATTACCGTTCAACAAACCCATGCAGAGCGCTACTCCCAATGTACCGGCAAAACCTGCCGTCGACCCGGAAACCCTCATCCCGGAATCAGCACACGCACCACCATCCACGTTACCGCCACAACCATCAATGTTGCTCCTCCCGTGGATGAACCACCTCGGGTTCAAGCAGGTCCCCTGGATGCTGTTGGACGCCTTTAACGAGCGGGCCAAGTACCGCGAGGGTGGTGAGGCGGCCATGAAGTTGATCTTTGGAGGAGAGCGTGACTTCCAAGGACGTGGCGTTGATATCGTCCAGCAAGACTCTGCCGATCTCATCCAGCAAAGTACGTTGGAAACCTCGGTCAACGCTGCCCGACCGACGACGGACCTCGACTTTGATATCCAAGTGGAAGACTTTTACAAGAAATCCTTCAAGGACTTGCCTGGCCGAATCCAAAAACTTCGGGACACATACTACGCTGACCTGCGCACGAGGCTGCAAACCGCACGGGACTTGGCGGCTGGCGTTCGTGAACCCACAAAGGATGAAGTCGCCAAACCACCGTTAAAAGAGGACGAACTCAAGGCGGAACGACTGAAGAAGGAGATTCGATGGAGGAATGAGGAGGAAGGGTATGAGATTGTGAAGAAGGGTAGTCCGGTGACGTGGATGACCAGGTGGAATGGGTGGTTGAAGGTGTATACCGAGCCGGAGAGGGAGTTGTAACGTGTGGGGGTATTTTGCATGGTTTATCAGCACCGCAAAGGGAGTTGAAAGATGCTGCTCGACTCGATTTGAGCGCGTGCGCGGCCGCATCTGTACACTGTCATAAATATCAGTAGAGCTTCACAAGATAAATTCAACTACTCTTCAGCATTTGAGCTGTACGGAGCATGATTCGAGGGTGGGGATTCTGACAGCATTCGGCCGCGTGGGAGTGGTATTCTAGAGCACCCGTCGCGCTTGGAGGTTCTTCTTGACCCTGAGATGGTTCCCAGGTCGCAAAGGCGCGCAGGGGTGGATGACGTTGTTCAATCAGAAGTCAGTTGAAGAGACACGTTGTGTACCCTGCGATGGCAAAGCTATGTCTTCAATCGCTCCATACGCTCTCATCGACTTCCGCCTGCGAGATTTGCGAGTTGTGCTGGGAGGAGCGAGCTGACAGGACGCTGCAACTTGGCAGAGTTCTGGATCGCATTTATTTAGAAGCAAAGCGTTACAGAGTGCCAAGACCGACCATGCATGACAACGAAGACTTGTGTCACGTCGTACTGTCACGAAAGCGGACACCTTGAGCGGTCGGAACGACCGCTTCTGTGCCTCAAAGACTGAGAGAGCTTGTCATTAGGGGGCGCCTGCTGCTGAGATGGAGGGGTCACCGCAAGAACGACTGTCATGATAGCAGAGAGGATGGGGCTCTGGACAGGCGAGGCGATACTTCTTCGAAAGGCGGTCACGAAAACGTCTTCAAAATCTATGGAGGGAAAGTTTACATTGTCGAATCAATCCAGAGTTCGGTTCTGCTTTGTTGAAGGAGGCGAAGTGTCTATGTACCAATAAACCGGGGTGGATCTCGACCTCTGGGCGCATGAAGTCTGACACCTAAGGGCACGCGGCGCCCGTGGGCGCCGCAGGGGCCTTTCTGGAACAAGATGTTGGTGTGTAAGGGTCCATCCATGAGCTGAACCTTCGGGGGGACACGAGTAAAACGCTGTAGGCCTTGTGAGACGGAGGGAGTGGCGAGACGGAGGGAGTGGCCAGCCAAAAAGAGAGAAAAGAAGTGGTCATAACGTCGTCGTCGATGAGGCTGATTCAAAAAGGCGACTTCCCGGAATCGAACCGAGGACCACTCCCAGACTGTTCAATACAATCGGATGGTGTAACCCGAAGGGAGTATCGTACCACTAGACCAAAATCGCGCCGCTTCTTGCGTCCGGGGAGTTTAAAACAGGACTTGAGGACCATGTTGTGGAAAAGTTTCAGTCAAGATCTTTTTTGTTCATTTTTCCGCAACATCTGAAATAGACTACAACTAAAGGTTCGAAAAGCTTTGAGACACCTCTTGATAACATGTAGCGGTCCAGGTCCGAGGGTGGTGAGCTCAGTAGGTCAGTAAGAATAGCAACCGGTTCGGTGGCAACTCGGTCGCATACGACATTACTGCTAAACAGCGTGGCGTAACGTCACGTCGTCGTGCTTGATCCGCGAGAGACCATGCTAGCAACGCCCAAGTTGCGACGGGAACGTATACACATGTGTCAAAGAGTCTCAGAGCATGTTGCGTTTCCCTAGCTGTCACGGTACACTTTCGCAAGCAAGGGCCTGCGGAGTGTCTGGCTCTCCGTCGTTGTATAGCTCACTTCCGTTATCCTTTCCTTCCGATGTATCCGATGCTTGCTCTTCGGTACGCGTCGATTCACACTCATAGGAGCCCGAACTATCTTCTTGCGAAGCGAGACTTTCGCTGTCCGAGTCTGCATCAGATGTCGGGTCGTCAGAAACACCTCTACGGAACCTCCGGACTTCAGCCAGAGCTTCTTGCCGGCATCCCTCTCCGTAAGCTTGGAAGCTTTCTTTGCCATTCAGAAAAATGGCCTGCTCCATGTCCTCGCACAGGTAATGGTGCTGTTCCAGCAAAATGTGGCCTTTGTCGAATTGCACAAGTATGATGACGAGCCGTATAAGGATGAGGACCCTAGTCATGCAGATGATGGCAATGATGACGAGGAAGGGACTGTCGCAAAGATTTAAGCCTTAGCTTTTCCACAACTTGCTGGACCCTGATCCAAAACTTACCGTAGACAGACGCGCCAAAAGTCTGTAAAAGCTCCATATCGAATCGCAATTAGGAGGAGGTTTTCTGTCGCTTCCGAGTTGGGGAGACCATTCACCTAGTCGACGATACTTCGATAGCATCTGACAGTCAAAGGTGACCTTTCAATATGTGACGCGCACACGGAACCGATGGAGGACATTTACCGTGGACTATTGCCAGCATATTGACTCCACTATACCGCACGGAGCCGAGAATCTTGAAATCAGCTCTAACTGGGGTCGTCGCTTCGTCAAACGGAATGATAACTTCTCCACCATGGCACAAAAGCCCCTCTCCTCTGCCCAAGCCTTCGGCTACGACCCGTTGAAAGTGCTCGGATATTTCAATGATCTGCGCGATACCACGAATAAATATGGGAAAACACCCCAAAACAGCCGGAATATCGACGAAACCGGCTTCAGAATTGGCATTGGAGGAAAGGGGAGGGTAGTGGTCTACGCCTTGCAGAAGCACAAGAACCATTACGTCGCCAGCGAGAGTGACTGCGAATCGATGATCCTGACGGAGTACACAAATAATGCCGGTCCAGTGATTCCTCCAATGATTGTGGCCGCGTGCAAGAACATGTTTTCAAAGTTCGCCCGAAATACCCTGCTCGACGGAACACATTTCGACACCAGTGATTGTACGTCTCTGTCGCGGGCCAGTATTCAGTGTTACGTAGTATACGTACCACGGTACCCCCGTTGTAATTGGGATCTTAGCACCAGTTACCAAAATGACTTATTACGTAAGATGGGGCTGCTGTTTACCTAATGTGAGAGACAAGGGTATCTAATGCTTGAGAGAAGTCATGCACTCAAGGTAGCTTCGGAATTAAGAGGTAATCAAAGGGTGATTCATAAAGCATGAGAGCTATTACAAAAGGGGCAAAGTGCCCAGCTATATATAGTTGTCCAAACTGGGCAGACCCTCTTGGGAGACTGAGAGCACAAGGTCTCTCCAGGGTAGCCGTGAAGCTGCAAAGCTGAGAAGTCGCGCAAGAGCGAATCTGCGCTGCTGCAAAGCTGCAGTTCTACAGAATATTGAAATAGCATTGATGGCAAAGGTGATGATGATGGCTGATGTGATGGCATCAGAAGGAACGGCTGATAAGTACGAGTGGTTGGCAGTAATGTTATTGATAGGCATTACTACAACTAAGCTATGGTTCTTTACACGGCCTGAATGCTCCAGCGTAGCTGGCTTCAACTTTTCCCGCGTTCTCAGTCACCGAATTTTCCTTGTACTACATTGGCTTCTAGAAGAGTCGCTCTTCCTCGTACAGTGAAGCGAGCGCCGTCTGACGTTGACAATGCTCTTCATTGTAGGAGAATGGGCTCCGCAAATGCGTCAGAGGTAGAATCGATTCGATGGCCTTCTTCTCTTCCAGGCGGACCTGCAGATTGAGCACCGTAGCTCCACCGCAAGCGCTGTTCCAGCTGCTGGTGCAAGATTAGAGTATAATCTGAGAGTCAAGTCGTCCGTGCTCACCTGTTACCTCTAACACACGCAATGACGAACGTTTCAATGCACATAGGCTTGGCTGAGATCTCCACACTTGCTGATCCGTTGGCTGAGCCCCGAACTTATCGCGCAGCGCCGTTATTAAAGGCTGTAGATCGGTTCGAAGAGCCGGCAAGCAGTATGCCTGGAACCCGGGAGCGTCGTCGAGTGCGAGCCGATGCTTTAGCATGGGACCGCCTGTATACGCTTTGACCGAGTCGTAGTCCTCCTCGATCCTCATCGCCGTATCTCTTAGCGTCATTCCAGCATATCGCTCAACTACTCGCCCCTGCGAGCCTGAGTCTTCCAAGGCTCGAAGTGGGACTTGAATTCTTGGCGTATCTCCTTTGTGCTTCAGCTGCGATTTAGAGGAAATGATGATCAGCGTTGAGTCCTCAAGTGGCCCGCTCCTAGTCGCTAAACGCACCAGAATTCCGCTCAATGTTGGGTACCAGCGATTTGCTCTTTACGCGCTTATTCCGACTTGTAATAATTTTGATATTTACGATCAAAAATCACAAGTACAAATAAGTCAGAACTTGTAATTTTAGAGCTTCGCGGCAAGCAACGAACCTGTCCGGATTCTACACAGTTGTTATTTAATACTCACCTGTCTTGCTGACTGCCAAAGACTTCTAGCTAACTCTTACTGGAAAGGGTAGCTAATCCTAAGTCGTAACTGTAAGGGTAGTGATAGAAAATCTTGATCTAATTTGCGTAAGTGATTAAACTATAGACAGGTCACAACTCACAGCCAAAAGGGCTGGTTTATATAGTTATACCTTGCCTAAGGCGAGGTAGTTCGCCACCAATAAAGACACTAATACTAGGTTGCACATACGGATGAGCACAAAGTGCACACATATATGCGCACAAGATGTGCACAAGATGTGCATATTATGCGCATTTGTTGTGCACGATTATCGAGTTGTGGAGAGGCAAGTAGACGCGGCGAGAGGGGCAGGCGAGACGAGAAAAAGAAAGCGCGGAAGCACAGAATCCCAACACTCAAGGTACTTCGTAGCTTTCCGGATGTTCTTTCCACGAAGCGAACATGCACCTCAACCCTCCCGTTGCCCTTTTCGTTGACCTTTCCTGCATCTTCTTCTCTCGCTACATTTACGGATTATAAGGCGGGGTGGCCGACAATGCTAGGATTGAAGGGATCCACCCACCATCCGTAGGAGACAATCGACAGTCATGGGCTACTCTCGTAGCTTCGTGACGACAAGGCCCTGCTTTTCTTCAGAGAAAGGCGCGAGGGGCCCTAAGGAGGAGTTGACGAAACCCACCAAGAGTCCAAGTCTTTCTGCCTGAGCCTGTTGGGAAATTATTATTAGCCTGATGTTCCGCTAGTTATACTACTGGAAATACCGGGGTAACTCCTGTGGGATGAGGTCCTTGCACCTCCAACATCAATTCTGGATCGACGAGCCGGAGGATAGCGTCGCTTTGCGACCTATACAGATCGAGGGTAGAATTTTCATGAACGGGGTTGGTATGTTAGCTGGTTTCCAACGCGCGATGTCGTAAGACTTACGTTTGGTGAGCTGGGATTGCGAACGGGATTGTGGATGAAATGTGCTTGAGAAGTAGAGAATCAGCGATATGATAGGATAGGATAGGATAGGATGAGAATGCGAATGAGAAAGCTTCACCAGCCCAGCAGCTCGAGCGAGAAAACGATCGAACGTCTGAGCTTGAGCGCCATCTCGCATCGATCTTATCTCACTGAATACACTTGTAGTAGCTGCCACCTATTACGTCTGAAACCGGCAATGTTAGCTACAGCACATGATTAGACCTTTCCGCTTCAAACTCACACCATTACACAGTATATATCTATATAGATAGATGGCATAATCTATGATGTCACATATGCTGTGAGTACTGATCTAGATCCTCGGTGCATGTCCACATTAGTGGCCATGGTTGCTAAGTGAATCAGAGTTGACTAAAAGAGTGAAGTCAGCCATAGAGAGCAGGTAGTGGTACACATAGGAAGTGACCCCTTCGCGGAAGCCATTAGTTTAAAGCCCAGTCGATAATTTTTAGTCCCATTTAGCGGACCGGCGGAATAGCATGAACCGCAAAAGTGAGGAGGATGAAACCCCCCTTCGGTACACCCATCCTGCACAAACTACAAAGGGAGAAAAGAGCTGGCCATATGTATCGTGTACAAGGTGGAGGAGAAGCGTGCTCACTAATTTGTGACCTCGCATCTGCAGTCAAGAGAAGCAGGCATCAGTGATCATGTCTAAAGAGAGAGAGTGAGGAAGCGGAACAGAAACGAGGTGAGCTCTACATAAGTAAAGAAAGCACTAGGATGGCAAGAGTCTTGCCCTTTTAACAGTGCTGACACCTTTCATCAACTATAGGATAATGTCTTTTCCCATTCCATTTTACGACTTCAACACTATATGTTCGATGCCCAGATATCACTATCCTTTTGCTACATGCTGTACAATAGATAGTCGCAGACAAGTCAAAACCCAACTTTCAGTTTCGCCTTAGCTAGTAGTTGATCTCGAAGTCGTACTACTGATAACTATACGTGGTTCACAAGGTATTTCTTGACATGCGGAAGCAGTGCGACAA